CCTGGTCTGTTCTGACGCCTCGTCCTCGGACCGGGCGCACAGGAGCAGGTCGTCCAGGTAAAATAAAACCCTCATTCCCGCCGTGCGCAGCGGCTGCAGCGTGGTCTCCAGACATTTGGAGAAAGTGTGCGGGGCTAGCGAGTAGCCGAAAGGGAGGCGATTGAACTGGTATTGAACTCCCTTGAATGAAAAACGCAGAAACTTCCGGTGTTTTGGAATTACTGGAATGTGGAAGTATGCGTCTTTCAGGTCTATTGACGTGAACCAATCCCCGGAGCGCACGTATTCTAGGACTTGCCTCAATGTTAACATGCGGAAATGCATCACTGCTATGGAGCAGTTGAACAGGGAAAGGTCGAGAATCGGTCTAATTCCTCCCGACTTCTTCAGTACTACGAAGTAGCGGGAGTAGAAGCCCGAGAGCTCTTGTCCGCGAGGGACTCGGGAAATAGCGTCCTTGGACAGAAGTTCCCGCAACTCCAGCTCTAGGGCCTGAGACTGTACTTGTGATGTGAACGTCATCTCCACGATCCCGTTGAAGGGAGGAGGAGCAGCCTGAAAATGGAGTGTGTGACCGCAATGAATGGTCTCCGATATCCATTTGCTCATGGTACAAAGGCGGCGCCATTCGTGCACGCGTTCCGACAGCAGACGCATGTTCACGGTCACGTGAGCAACGTCTGATGACTGGGTATGCGCCCTTACCGCCGTCGCTAGCCCCAGAGAACTGGGGGCGACTCATGGAGGGCTGTGCTCGTAAGGGCGAGTGTGAAACAGCTGGAAGAGGCTGATCCGCACAGCAGAGCATGGAGACCAAAGGAGCAGGGCGAGTGGGAGCCGGGCCCTTACACGGGGACGACAAAGTGCCCGCGGACGGAGCCGCGCACTGTGCCGCCGCAAGTGATCGCGACAGCGCCATGACATTCCGTCCCACCCAACGTTGTGGGGAAAACGGGATGAGTAGGACCTGGCCGGAGGCTGGGGCCGGTGCGCAAATGGAGCGCACCCTTACAGCTGGCCGTATGATATGACTGACTGCGGGAATACGTATATGTGCCGCAGTGCTTGGTGTGGGGAACATGTGTGAAGAGTCGGCAGAGGATTCCGCAGAGGACTGTAGGATTGTGCTCTTTAAGTGACGTTTTTTGGGTTTTATTTCAAAACCAACATCAACATTATTACAATCATGTACACACACATTCCCCCCAAAGAGTCACTTTTGTGGCTGCTTTCGGCTAGGCTCCTGCGCCTGTGACTGCCAAGACGGCGTCTGCTGGCTCCGTTGAAACCTTTGGCCGCCAACTCGCTGGTCCCGCTTCGGCTCCACCTCAGCGAGAGGTCGGCTCCGTGGGGCAGGCGGCGCAGCTGGGCGCCTGAAGTTTCTGCGCCGTTCGTCCCATCCTCTGGCGGAACGGCCGGAGTGCGAGGCTGACCGAGGGTGGACCAGGTCTCGCACCGTAGCTGATAGTTCAGCTGTCTTCTGAGCCCTCTCTATGACGCCCCTAAGATGGGGACCAAACAAAACGTCAGAGATGATGGGGCCTTCTAGCATCTCCCTGTGCAGGGGTTCAGGAATGGAGGGCAGGGCCTTGAGCCACAGGATCCGCTGCATGAGGGTCTGCCAGGCAGCAATGCAAGCAGAACCGGTGAGCACAGCAGCACATAGATTGAGGATAGCATCAGTAGTTTTAATAATGATGGTTTTCGACTCGTCGGGAGCGTCCAGCTCCTCCATCATCTTTGAAACGCCGAAGGCAAGAAGGGCGATGTTATTCCCTGCAGCTCCGGTCTGAAAGGCACACTGGTGTGCGCGGTCGGTGAGCCGCGTCAGCAGCTGGTCATGCTTTGAAGCGAGAACTGCTCGCGGGCCAGTGAGGTGGTTTTTGGTGCCAAACAGCGAGGCCAAGTCCGGTTCTAGTGGAGGAACGGATGGCCAGCCCTGGTCGGAGAAGCCCTCGACCTTGGTGATGGCGTAGGTGGAAACTGGCGCCTTGAGCTTGGCAGGCTTGGAGAAGGCGGCGGACCAGCAGCCCATAGCAGCGGGGAAGCGCGGCCAGATAGGGTCTGGACAGCGCGTCTGAGTTGTCCCGAAAATTCCTGCCAAGTCATCCGCTTCAGGCGGGGCCGGTTCTGGAACGGCGAGTCCCTTGCGGACCGCAGCCGCGGAGATGATTGCGGGCAGCTCCTGGAGCAGTGCTCTTACTGCTGGTAGGGAGGAGCGAGAAGCCACTGGGGCAGAAAGACCCGCTGAGCAAGGCTTGTCGACCTCCGTGTTGTCAGGAGGGAGGAATGGCTAAGGCGGCCAGCCTCGTCGTATTCCTCGCTGTCGGTGACGTCATCCAGCCGGTTGAAGCCAGCCAGCTCCTGACCAGCGTTGAAGAAGCCCAAATCCTTGTCCAGCGAATACGTCTCAGCCACCGGAAATTCCTCGGCGGCGGCGGGAGTGAAGTACTCGACCCGGCGGATCTTCTCAGCCACGGGCAGAGCGGCACAAAACGGGCACGAGGCCTGGGGGGTCAAGGCCAGGCCAGCGTGATGAGCCCCGAGACAGACCTCACACTTGGCGTGCAGGTCGCCGCTGGAAATGGAGCCCGTCTGGCAGGCCGGGCAGGTCCTGGCGTCGCTGGACATAGCCGGTGAGTTGTAATCTTCTTGGATAAAATGCTCTTTAAGGAAGCTCTCAAGCTTGGCATGAAGAGAAAAAGGGGGCGAACAGTGGAGTCGCTCCACTTATATACCCACAAGGGGGCCCACTATTGGTGGGCGTAATTTAAGCTCTTCATGATTGGCTGATGCTGAGATCATCCTTCCAATAGCAGCTCGCTTAAGGGCTAAGACTAGACGAAATAGAACCAGTGTGGGTGTGTGTGTGTGTGTGTGTGTGTGTGTGTGTGTGTGTGTGTGTGTGTGTGTGTGTGTGTGTGTGTTTCTTCAGCAAATTAAACTTATCATTTGTTTTAAGGACAACGGAGTACAGAAGCGTTTTTATTAAGCTTAGAGGTGAAGAGTGAAGATGTCTACATGACTACAGAAGTTCTTCTGTGAAAAGCAGTTTTACATTCAGGGATTTACACAGCTGACACGTTTTAATGAACAGTTAAAATAGTTTGTCTGAAGAATAAAAGTTTTATCTTCTCATGTGGATAAATGTAAAAATGTGTTTATTGCCTTTTTGCCACCTGTGGTCTGATTTTCTCTGTAGGACTGCAGGTGTCCAGGGTCAGGAGAGGCTTTACCTGGTGGTCCTCCTGGGAGAGAGGCCTTCTACTGTCATCATGTTAATGTTATTTAGCTGTTTGATATTTGAACACGTTTATTAAAACAAATACTAACTGATAACTCTTTCTGGTCATTGGTTTTATCACCAGTTTTATTATTACAGATGTTTTTGAACATGTTACATGAACAGAAAATGAGAAGATGGTAAGGAGACAAGATTATTTATATTAGGTTACACTTATTTACAGATCAGAACCAGTATGGACCAGTTATGTACGGTTAAAGCAGGATTAACCTGGGTGACTCTTCCTGGATCATTTATTTAAACTGAGTGAGCAGGAAGTCTTTAACAGTGCAGCTGGATCTGCAGGAGGATCCAGGCGTGGATGGAGGGCTGGGGCAGACCCGTGGCTGGACGTTTCTGGCCAGAGGAACATCATACAGGACGGTCTGCAGAGAGAGCTTTGGGACGCTTCCTCTCACTGTCCACTCCATCGTCCATCTACAGGGCCTGCTGGGCTGGCTCAGACGACGGCTGTTACGTCTCTAAGATGTATTCAGAAATATGAAATGAGGAGATGGTTTATGGATCACCGGTGTAACAATTGTGACTCTTCAGCAAATAAAACCACAGTGTTGTTTTTAATAGAGGTTCCTACATAAATGACTTGCCTGTTAACAGCAGTGGTGGTCTGCTGGTACCTCCTCCACACACATCTTCCTCACGCTCATCCTCCAGACCCACAACTTCACCAGCACAGAGGCAGATGTGCAGCACAGTGCATGCTGACCTGTAATAGATTAAAAAAGGTTTTTTATAGAAAAATGTAAAACAAAACCTGCAGAATACTGGTTCTGTTCAGTTTAAAGAAAAGCAGCAGGAAAAACTACAGAGAATTTACATTTTAAGACAGATCTAATCATTATTAGGCTTAAGTTGAATAAACAAATGCACATTGAAAACACTTCAATGCTATTTTATTAAAAAGCCTGTTTTTTAAAACGTTTTACCCTCATTTGATGCTAAAATAAGAAGTTCTAAGGTCCATTTTACATTAGAAAACATCCTGCTGCATTCAACATTTATAATGCATTTGGTTTATATGAATTACCTACATGATAATACTCTGTAGTAATGTGTTGTGTACGTTTAACAAGTTCATTCTGTAGCTTAAAACATACATGAAACCATCTAAAGTTAACATGTAAGTCCTGAAAGCTTCTAGAATAAACAAAGTTACTTTACCTGAAAACGGTTGTGAACAAACGCTGCTGATGGACGTGAAGCTGCTGCAGCTCCTTAATATTCCTGCTCCATTTTCGCTAGCTTTAGCATTTTTCCTTTGCGTGTAGCTGCCGCCGCGGCTGTGACGGGACCTACGGGCCACCGTAGAGGTGAAGGCTAGACTGTCCGAATTCAGAGCCGCTGGGTTCCGGTTTTAGCGGTCTAACAAGGACCCGTCCTCACAAGCATCCCGCCCACGGATTCAGACACACCCAAAGCCTGTTATTGGTTCTTTGGGGAAGGAAGCTAGAATTGGGTTTGTAACTGTAGATGCTGTGATTTAAGATTTTACATGCAACAAACAAAAGTCACTGTTACAAAATGTGGTACTAGTTACATGTAATATCGCCCCAACCCTAGCTCCAAACACACACACACACACACACACACACACACACACACACAGGGCTCTTTTCGACAGATTTCTGGATTTGGTGTGTTTAATCACTACAAGAGCAAATGTGCAAAGGAATGATTGATAGATCTACAGATTTACCTGGAAGTGATCCAACATCTGTTTCCATGGCAACACTAAAAGAGCCTCTTTCTGAACCTTTCTGGGGATTTCTGAGTAGAGTAATGAGTTCTCTCTGCTTCCATACGGCATTCCTAGTAGACACACAGTAAAGCTTGTTCAGACTGAACAGGGACAGCTCTTATATAAAGCACATCAATTCTCCTTCATCAACCCAGAAAATACAAAAGGGGTAGAAGATGACACATTTTCATCAGCTGAAAGTCAGCTTACCAAGGTAGTACAGCCGGTGGGAGTGGGGTCCATTTCCATCTGCCTTTTGCACAAACTGGAAGTCATGGGGGGCCTTGTTGGCAATGATAACAGAGTACTTCCTGCTACAGTGGATGATATCACGAAGGCCCTCCCAAGAGTGTTTCTCCACAAAGAACTGAGAAGGAACATCTTCCATCTCCACCACCTCTGTGCTGTCAGAAAGACCGTCCACAGCCATCACTGTTTCACAACTGGATGATGACATTGCCAAGAACTACTCGGTGATGTAAGGAACAGCAAGGGAAGCAGAAGTTCTGCCTTTAAAAATGACAATACCTTTTCCAGATGCAGGCTGTCCGATTACCAACGCGAACCTTCTGGGCTCGTTGCATTCACCAGCCAGCAGACCTGACTCCAGTTCTGTAACCTGAAACAAAGCACAAGTAGTAAACATGTGTACTATAGTATTAGTTAGTAGAGAGGATAATCATAGACCTTATAGATGGGGTAACAAAAGTCCACGCATTAAACTAGTATCGTAACCTTCAAACATAATAACTGCATATAATATTAGCAACAAATGTTTTTCTGTTCCATGGAGTTCACATACGATGTCAGAGACTTTTAAAGACACATTTTGATACCAAGAACGCTCTTATTTTCGAAAATGGGGAAACGCTATTTTAGGTTTTGTGTGTAAAATAAGTCCAGGACTACAAATGTGCCTCGCGAAAGTGACGTCATCAAACCAGACACGGAGAAAACTGAGGGGAAAGGGCTGTAAGTTCAGCAAACTTTCCACAGGAGGAAAGAACCACCATAAATCTGGTCATGTGGTAAGTAGCAGCTACGCTAGGGGAAGGAGCTTATATGGTGACATCATATATGCGACGTGCCAATTCCTAGTTTGTAGTCATGCAAGCGGATAAATCTCAAAGTACGTGACAGGCATGGTCGACGCACCATCATTACTTTTCATTTAAATTGCAGTACAAGGTGTGTGTGGTCCAGGGCGTAAGGCAAAGCGGATTAGAAATTAACATTTTTAGCCCCGTTGACTTGTGTTCATTTTTCTGTTCTTCCAGAGACCCGTGATGTGGAAGTGACTTAGGCTCCCTATTCCCATTTTATTAAGGTGTATCCATATAAGTGGCCCACCCGGTGTGTGTGTGTGTGTGTGTGTGTGTGTGTGTGTGTGTGTGTGTGTGTGTGTGTGTGTGTGTGTGTGTGTGCGTGCGCGCGTGTGTGCGTGCGTGCGTGCGTGCGTACGTATGCACACAAGCAGCGGAGCAGCAGAGTCAAGCAGAGACGACGGTGATGAGGAAGTAGGAGGTAAGTCTTCAGTTTTAAGCATATTTGTTGTGTCAGTGGTAAGTTGAACGGTAAAATAAGCAATGACAAAAGTATGTTTCCCTCAACATGCTTCCTAAGTTTATTGTGTGCCTCGTGGCCTCGTATTGAAAAGTTACCCTGAAAACATAAAATTAAAAAAACTGCCGCAGCATTACGCTCTATGCAGAGCTCACGCTGCTTCCCCTTTAGTCATGCAGGGCAGTAAGTAAGTAACATCGGCCTTTTTCTGGTAGACATTCTGGAATATTCTCCGGCAATTTCCTTCGCTCTTCTTCAGCAGTCTTTTCAAACTCACGCGGTTCACCCGCGGCTCGCGAAACAAATAGTGCAGACGCCGACACGATCGCTGCACGGCGCAGGCTGGAGCGCCGGCGCGCAGCGCTTCGGCGGCCCATGTGGCCTATAGAATAGGATAACAAGGGCGACGAATTAAGGCGGTCCCCGTTTCGCGGCGCTTCGGCGGCACACGACCGTTGTCGCAGCTGAGGACGGACGAGGGGGGGTTGGCAACAAAGCAATGAAACGCTGTGCAGGGAGCCCCCCCCTCCTCTCCCTAGCTGGGAGAGGAGGGGGGGGCGGTAATACGAGAAAAGAATAGAATATAATAGAATTCAACTTTATTGTCTTTGCACATGTACAGGTACAGGGCAACGAAATGCAGTTTGCATCCATCCAGAAAGTGCTTTAGCCGTGAAATAGATGTATTACAATATATATTAGCAATAATATAGATGTGTAAGTATATTACAGAAATGGATCTATTACGTATGTTATAATGTACACGGTATGAAGTATGTTATGAATATTCTATGACTATAAGTATGTACAGGCTGTAGTTAATACAAGCAGCCCATGAGTTTAACGTGGGTCATATGTCAGGAGGCAGAGTTCAGGAGTCTGACAGCTGTGGGGAAGAAACTGTTCCGGTACCTGGTGGTCTTAGTCCGGAGGCTCCTGTAGCGCCTCCCAGAGGGCAGCAGGGTGATCAGTGCATGTGATGGGTGACCGTGGTCTCTGATGATTTTCCCTGCCCTTTTCAGACACCGCTTCCTGTAGATGTCCTTTATGGCAGGAAGTGGTGCTCCGGCGATGCGCTGGGCAGTTTTCCCGACCCTCTGCAACGCCTTCCGGTCCGAGGCGGAGCAGTTCCCATACCAGACTGTTATACAGTTGGTCAGGATGCTCTCGATGGTGCAGCGATAGAAGTTCACCAGGATGTCTGAGGACAGGTTGTTCTTCCTCAGAGTCCTCAAGAAGAAGAGGCGCTGGTGAGCCTTCTTGACCAGCTTGGAGCAGTTGGTAGTCCAGGTGAGATCCTCGGAGATGTGGACTCCCAGGAACTTGAAGCTGCTCACACGCTCCACTGCTGTCCTCTTAATGTGGATGGGTGGATGTGGGTCAGCATTCCTCCTGTAGTCCACAATGAGCTCCTTAGTCTTCTCAGTGTTGAGCAGCAGGTTGTTTGTGTCGCACCACTCAGTCAGACGGCCCACCTCCTCCCTGTAGGCGGTCTCATCGTTGTCACTGATGAGGCCAATCACCGTGGTGTCATCTGCAAACTTAATGATGGTGTTGGAACCATCAGCAGGTCTGCAGTCGTGGGTGAAAAGGGAGTAGAGGAAAGGGCTCATCACACAGCCTTGTGGTACACCAGTGTTCATTGTGATTGTTGATGAGCAGCAGTTATCCAGTCGGACATGTTGAGGGCGGTTGGTCAGGAAGTCCAGTAACCATTTGCAGGTGAGGGAACTGATCCCCAGGTCTGTCATTTTCCTGATGAGTTGTGAGGGGTGGATTGTATTGAATGCTGAACTGAAGTCTATAAACAGCATTCTGGCGTAGGTGTTGGTGTTGTCCAGGTGTGAGAGGACAGAGTGCAGTGCGATGGAGACTGCGTCCTCTGTGCTCCTATTCTGGTGGTATACAAATTGGTGGGGGGTCCAGGGTGGTGGGGGGTCAGCATTTGAAGTGTGCTAAGACCAGCTGCTCTAAGCACTTAGTGATGATGGGGGTGAGTGCTACCGGGCGGTAGTCATTGAGGCTAGATGGGTTGGAGTTTTTGGGTATCGGGACGATGGAGGTGGATTTGAAGCAGGCTGGTACCACAGCGTGGGCCGAGGACAGATTGAATATGTCTGTCAGCACTCCTGCAAGTTCCTCAGAACATGCTCTGAGAACACGCCCAGGGATGCCATCAGGGCCTGCAGCCTTGTGGACATTGATCCTGCTCAGCACCGCTCGTACATCGGTGGGGGAGAGAGTCAGAGGTTGGTGGTCTGGCGTCATGTCTGTTATGGTTGTGGTTGTGAGGTTCCCTCGCTCAAAACGAGCATAAAAGTTGTTGAGCTCGTTGAGGAAGGAAACATCAGAGGATGCGGGGGAGGGTTTGGTGATCCTGTAGTCTGTAATGTCTGGAGTCCTTGCCACATGTGTCGGGGGTTGGAGTTGGAGGTGTTCTTCTATCTTCTTTTTGTAATGGTGTTTGGCTTTTTTGATGCCCTTCTTTAGATTAGCCCTGGCTGTACTGTAGGCGTGTGCATCTCCTGTCCTAAAAGTGGTGTTGCGGGCCTTCAGTAGGAGACGAACATCCCGGTTCATCCAAGGCTTCTGATTGGGGTACATGGTGATCCTTTTCTGGGTGGTGACACTGTCTGTGGTTACGGAGATGTAATCCAGTACAGCTGAGGCGTACTGGTCCAGGTCTGTGTTGGTAAACATATTCCAGTCTGTGTTTTTAAATCTGTCCTGGAGCTGGATAATTCCTCTTTACAATAGAATAAATCTATTGTATTTTTTCAGCCTTATATTTTACATAAGGCTTATACATTGCCACATACTAATCTAATGTATCTTATTTTTATTTTCCTAATACTGTCTGCTTTGGAAAGGATCAAAACACAAAAGTGTAAAACTCAAAAGTATTTTAATACCAAAAATCAGAAATAAAAACAGGTAGCTAGGACGCTGAAACCAGCAGAGTATGACTGAAACTGAACCGTAAGCACTGAGGAGTGAGAGATGACAGAGGACTAGTTATGAGGAGGAGCTGTGAGTGGGAGCAGAGGACAGCAGGGGAACATGGGAGGAACTATTAATGAAAATATTTTTAAAGAAGAAAGAATCCTAAAAGGAAAGGAAGAATAACTAGAAAAAAACCTGACAACAAACAGAGTAGAAAACTCAGTGGAAGGAATAAAAAGACATGAATACTAAATGAGAAAACCTGAACAGCTGGGGAACCAAACAAAAACAGAGCCATCGGTTCTAAGCCACAATGTCTGATATCATTTATTTACATGATCATTTTTAAACTTTACGTATAAAAATGCCACATTTAATGTATTTTACTTTGTCTTGGTACCAACAGATATATAACTGTACTTTTATGCTGATTACTTTGTTACAGGTGGAAAAAGAGGGTCGTAGTAAGGTGTGGGCCTACTTCACTAAAGAGCCATCCGGTGATGTCATCTGCAGCATCTGCTCATCTTCAGCAGGCCAGGGGTGAGACAAAAGCAAGTCAAAAAACACAACTAACTTGTGGCACCATCTTAAAAAGACGCACAACGATGATTATGAAGTTGCACAAAGTCAAGCTAAGAAAGGGACAGGAACTCAAATGACTCTTCCACAAGTTGTTGAACGAACAGCAAAATGGGGCCCAAATGACCCAAAAGTCAGAGAGATAGATAAGCTCATAATGGAAACGACTGCCACAGATGTCCTGGCCTGTGCTGTTGTGGAGGGAGCGGGGTTTAAACGACTGGCTGCAAAGCTGGAACAAAGATATTCACTGAAAAATGAAAAATGTTTTCGCACAAAGGTGATGGAAGAAACATACCAAAAGGTTGTGAACAAGGTTAAACAGCTTCTTCATGTTGACCATTCTGGACCCCTTGCCTTCACTACAGACTGCTGGTCTGGAGCTGGTGACGCACGCCCTCATGAGTTTAACAGATCACGTTATTGACAAACCCGGCAGAGAGTCCAGCTAGTGCTGAACGTGAAGACAGTGTTTGGTTCTCACACAGGAGAATATAGAAGTGAAACCTTGCTTCACTTATTAAAAGAGTG